TTGAAGCTGCTAAATAAAAATGTGAGATAATAAATCTGTGCTGCTTTAAGATGATTCCGTGCCATAAATATTACACACACATACCCACTTTCTTTCTGGGACTTGAGATTGGACTCAGATCCTGTGTATGCTAAGCAAAAGCTCTACCACTAAGCTATATCCTCTAGCCCAATTTTTTAAATGAAATATCAACTTTCTTAAAAAGTTTTCATTGGTCCCCATTTTGTTGTCTTTTTCTAAGCTCTAGGGAAAAGTGATGAACAAGACTTTATTTCCATACCTGTAAAAATGGGCCAATAAAAATAACTATCTCTCGAGTTACAACAGGATTAAGTAAATGAGCAGAAGCACTTGGGAAAATGCCTGGTAAAAATAAGTGTTTAAGAGAAGCCACCAGGTGCTGAAATTCTAGCACTCTGGGAGGATGTGGCAAAAGGATCATTAAATTTGAGCCCAGCACAAGGTGTGGTGGCACATGCCTGTGATCCCAGCACTCAGGAGGCTGAGGCAGGAGGATTGCCATGAGCTCAAGGCCAGCCTGCACTACGGAGTGAGACCCTGTCTCACACACACACACACACACACACACACACACACACACACACACACAAAGGTTAGCCCAGTCTGGAAGGCAAGACCCTGCCTCTAGATCAAAAGCCAGGAGATGTAGCTCAATGAACAGACAGTGGATTCAATATACAATACTGGAAGAAAAAAAATAGAAGCGAGAAAGGATGGGAGAGACGAAGGATAGATATTAAATTCCTGCTTTCTGCAAGCTTATATCCTAGGAAGGGAAATGAAAATAAATTCAGGAAGGGGAAATGAAGGGAAAGAGGGGAGGAGAAAAGCAGGAAACAACTAGCTGATATCAACACGTGTCTTAGAGACACTTTCTTGTGTTTAAGACTGGTTCCCTGCAGCCCATCTGCTGGGAATGCTTTCTATTTTTATTTTTTCCTTTTCTTTTTTAGTGTTTTCAAGACAAGGTCTCACAGTGTGGTCCAGCCTAACCATGAACTCACAGCAATCCTCCTGCCTCAGCCTACCAAGTGCTGGGATGACATTTTTAAATGATTGAAAAAAATTCAATCAGGAATGGTATTTTGTGCCACATGAAAATGAAATGACAAACTTCAGTGCCCATAAAGGTTTTTTGTTTTTGTTTTTTTTTTTTTTTTTTTTGTCTTTTTGAGACCGTCTCCTATGTAGTTCACGTTGGCCTTGAGCTCACTTTGTAGCCCAGGCTGGTCTCGAACTCGCAAGGATCGTCCTGCCTCAGCCTGGGATTACAGGCATGAGCCACCACGCCCGGCTCCATAGTTTTATTAGGACATGGCCATGCCTGTTTGCATTTCCCACAGCTGCTGTCACTCTGGAGTGCAGTTGGCACCTCACGGTCACAAGCTCCACAAAGCCCACAGAATTCATGCCAGCTCTTTAGAGCAGAAGTTTGCTGACCCACCCTGCTCTTTGCTGAGTGGCCTGGGCAGCCTCCAGGAACAGGTGACATTTAAACCAAGGTGATTCAAAGGGGCACCGAGAACAGAGGTGGGCGCAGTCTAATCTGCTCACAGCCCTCTAGAGAGGGGGGTGCTGTCCAAAACTGACACGGCCTTGGGGTGCTGAGGCCTCCCAGGCCCCAGAGTGGCATCCAGAGTGCCAGGCTCGATGTGCCCCGTGTCAGTGACTCGTCCACCTAGCTTGGCACCAGCACTGGGATCTGTGTGTCTGATGGTTTTATTTGCCTTCCCGGGGCAGTGACCCGAGATTTTAGATTCATTCACAGGAACAGGTAGGAAGGGGTGGAGCTCTGCAGCCTGGGGGTTGGCAGCAAGCCCAGGGGAAGCCAAGGCTGGGGCCTCACCCCTGGCACAAAGCCCTGACCGGGCCGAGCCTGTAAGCACTGTGGAGAGGGCAGCGGGTCAGTGAGTGGCTGGGGGCATCCCTGGCATCAGCCAGCTGGAGGTTGTTGTTTTGCTCTGCTTTGGTTTCTGAGACAGGGTTTTACTCTGTAATTCAAGCTGGTCTTAAACTCACTATGAAGCCCAGACTGGCCTCGAAGTCACAGTGATTTTCCTGCTTCAGCCTCCCAAGTGCTGGGATTACGGTAGTGTACCACCATACCAGGTTAGCCAGGTGCTGTCTTTTGGGGGTTTGGGGGGGCATTGACAGAGGGTCTTGCTATGCAGCCCAGGCTGGTCTCAGACTCTCAACAATCCTCCTGCCTTAGCCTCCTGAATGCTGGAGTTACAGGTGTGCACCACCAGGCCCAGCCCCTGTCGTTTGTATTTATGTTGTGGGTTTTGTTTTGCTGTACTTCGGTGTGCGGACAGAGGCCAGGGGCTTGAGTGTGCTGGACAAGAACCTTCCTGGGCTCTGTCTCAGCCTTCATAAGGTTAAAAGGGCTAGAAAAAGTTAAAAGCTAGGAAATCTCAGTTAAGTGGCCAGACAGCCCCCAGCTCTTCAGCATGTGGCCCCTGCCTTTCCCCCAAGGCTCTGTGCTAAGTGACAGCAGCGGGCTGTCAGGCCCATTTCACAGCCAGGAAAACACAGTTCCAACCCACCAGGCCTCTGCTCCTAAACCTGCTCTGCTTAGCACTTGCTCTCTATGTGACTCCAAGAAGATGGGTCGGCTTCCCTGGGCTTCCTTTTGGGGATTATGGTGCAAAATTACTTTAGGAATGAAGGAAACAATAGCTCAGCACCACACCTGCAGGCGGGACTCAGTAAACACTGAGGATCCTAACTCAAGAACACTGAGAACTCAGTTTCAGTCAGAGATCTCTTCTCAGCCCAGATTCTCAGGGCCAAAACCTTGACTTCATCTGTTTTCACCTGCCACAGTCAATCAGCAAACCCTGCCCTCGGTCTGCACCGAGTCCAGGCACTGTGCCACCTCCATGTGCCACCTTTGTCCAACTGCCATCCACTTGCATCTAGATTACCCCAAAGTTTCTTGGGTGACTTTAGGGCTGTTGTTCTAGAATCCCACTCCCCTCCACTCCTCTCTCCCCAAGTAGCCAAGGTCCCATTCTCAGAACGAAACCCTTCTGTGGCTTTCTGACATACCTAAAATAAACTAAGTTACTTATCTTCCAGCCGTTGAGCATCTATTATGTGCCTGGTACTCTTTTTAAGACACTGAAGGTAAAATGGAAAAACAAAACAGACGACCACTCCTGTGTTCACAAAGGGTCCATTCACACTGAGGGAGCCAGGAAACAAGTATCTGAGCAAAACACACAGTATTTTGGGACAGCAGTGTAAAAACAGTTAAGGTAACCTGGGAGGGATTTCATTTTACACAGGTGGTCAGGGAGGCCTAATGCACGATGGTTAAAAGCTGGAACGTGTGAGAGGACAGCCCAAGGGGTCACCATGGAGTCTTCCAGACACAGGGCTCAGCCAGTGCAAAGGCAGAAGTGCTCTTGGTGTTGGGCGCACACAGAGGGAGCCACCGTGATGACAGTAAAGAAATGTGTCTTGAGGGAGTTTCTGTCACTGAGACAAAATACCAGAGAAAAACAACTCAAAGGATTATTTTGGCTCATAGTAAAAATGAGGAGGAATCAGAGCAGACAGACAGAAGGACAAGATACGGTTCCCAAGGTCACATCCCCACCTCCTGAGTTTTCCTCACCTCCCAATAATACCATCAAATTATGAACCCATAATGGGTTAATCCACTGATGAAGTCAAAGCCCTCATGACCTAATCTCTTTCCAAAAACCCCACTTCTGAACACATGAATCCTTTGGGAGACATTTCAGTTCCAAACTCTTGACAATGTCAGTGTGTGTGCCTCTGTATGATTCCTGCAGGTTGCCCAAGGTTTTATTTTTTCACTTGGAAGTCACTACAGGTTTTGAGCACAGGACTGATTATATAGAGTTTTAAGGGATGGCTTTGATCCACATGTGGAAGACCAAAGAGATCATTTAGAGAGCTCTTGTGATTACTCAGATGAGACACTGTGGCCTGGACAGAAAGGAAGCAGCAGGGGTCAATCAGACTCAAAGGTCTTAGGATAAGGTATTAGCCTTCCTGATGGGGTCCTACCTACCCTCCCACCCTTGTACCTTCCCTATGGCACTGCTAGGCACACAGCAGAAGTCTACTGGGTGCCAAGCAGTGGGCACAACTGTAATTTCAGCAGTCGGGCAATCCAGCAACTCAGGGTGAGCCTGCCGCAAAATAGAATGAAAACAAGGGTGGGGTTGTAGCTCAGTGTTTAGCCTGGGTTCAATTTCTCCAAACTATAGACACAAAACACAAGACTTTGTAGAATCAGGTCCTAGGATAGCTCAGACCCTGAGGTCAATCATCAGCACTCAAAAAAAGGTGTTGTTGAAATCAATGAGAACGAGTTCGATCCCCAGTACCAAAAGAAAGAAAGCAATCAATGAGACTGATCCACTCTTCTTCCATCGTCAGCACCTCTGTTTTGAGACAGGGTCTTGCTATGTAGCCCAGGCTGGCCTGGAACTTTTAGCAATCCTCCCGCCTCGGCCTTGAGTACTGGGATTACAGGTGTGCGCCAGCACACCCGCCTTCCAGCACTATTTTAATGTCAGTCATAAATGATTACAGATGGAATGCTGAACAATCCTGCAAAGTCCACGTGGTTATTCCTCTCAACAGCTGCGGGAAACTGAGGCTAGGATTGCAAAGCGCCCCGCCTAGATGCCCAGCACACAGGAGGCTTCACACTGAGTCCTCCCCGCTACTTTTAGCAGTGGGAATTCCAGAGGGTGGGATGGAAGGAACTAGCTTTCAGAGTGAGTCACAGTGACCTCACAATTTACCAGAAACCACCCTCGGCCAGCAATGGAGACATTCAGACCCGGGTGGTAGCAGTCAGGACGCCCACTCCGGACCTCCGCGCTGAACGTCCCGGCAGTGTCCGCCCACGCACTTCCTTCCCACCCCGGGCCACTGAGACGACGAGACAGAGGGTCGCCCAGGTTTCGCCGAGGCCCCGCCCCCTCGCCCGCCGGCCCGCTCGCGCCTCTAGCGGAAGCCGGAAGCGACGTGGGCCCTGCTACCCCCGTGGTTTGGAACTCGGTGGTCTTGGAGGTTCGCAGGATTGGGGAGAAGATGGCGGAAGAGGAGTGAGTGGGTTTTTCCGGGGCTGCGGAGGCGGCAGGGCTGGGCCCCAGCGGGTGACGGCGAGGCTCTGGCCCTGGAAGGCGGAGCTCCCTGTGGCAGTTGGCCACGCGAGCCGTGCCGGCGCCTACGAGGAGGGCGGAGTGGGTGTGGGCGCTTCGGGCCCGACAGCCTCCTTCAGGCCGGACCCGCGGGCGTGGGATCCGCCACCCAGTGCAGACCATGAGATCACTTTCGGCGAAACCGCGAGCCATAGTTCACTTTCCCAGTTTCCGATTATCTGAAGACTGCTAGTGCTCAGCCTTCCCCAGGAAGTCCTCCCCATCCTCCACACGCACCCCTACTAAGCCCAGTCAGCTGTGTAACGACTAGATGTCGCGTCTGTGTCATCCACTGAGTTTCATTCATTCATTAACTTGGTCATCTAGGTGATTGGGCCCTGGGCACATAGTAGCAAAGGAGGCAGATCAGGAGGCTTATACTTTAATCGGGACAGAAGAGCATAAATGGACAAGGTGGTTTGGAATCCTGTTAAGCACTCTGAAGGGCGTACTGTAGAATGGTGGGCGAGTAGGGAAATCCATAAGAAGGGACGTTTGAGTTCAAGGAACGGAGGGATAGGAAGGATGACCGCATGTCCTAAAGGCCGTGAGCAAGAAATTGCTTAGTACTTTGAGGTACACACGGGACCAGCTGTATATAGTGAGGTGGAGGGAGGGTCTGTTTCCTGTAGACCACTGTTAGTCCATCCTCATACCTGGAGATGGCCACCGTCTGCCTGGTGTTACATAGATGTCTTTTCCGTGGAGTATGTAAAGATTAACAAGGGAATCCCTTGATTGATACTGGTATCTACCACCTGACAACATTTTGGATGTCTCTGGTCAAGTGAGTGTTAAGTCATTTAGTAAATTTATTTATTGAGCATCTGCTCTGACCCAGACACTACACTAGGCCTTACGTGCACAAAACAGAAGAAGTGATGTTGCCCAGCGATTTGAGTTTGAAAGCTTGATTCTGCCATTAACGGAAATGTTGGCCAAGTTATAGCTCTCAAGAAGTGTAGTGTTACCTGTTTCCTGGAATGATGCAGGGCTGGATAAATAACAATTTTCATAATCACTATTATGATATCAGTTTGCACTAGTTCACAGCCCCAACATAATGGAGGAAGAGTGTGGGCACATAGCTGTGGGGTGGAGTGAGGTATTACATGCGGTAACCTGAGCTTGGGAAATCTGAGAAGTTTTTTTTTTTTTTTCTGGATCGAACTCATGACCTCACGCTTGCCAGGCAGGCGCTTAAGCCACTGAACTAAATCCCCAGTCAGTATTTCTTAAAGTGGGGTAGGAAATGCTGACCCAGTCGAGAACTAGACAAGTGGTTTTTTCAACTTGCAGAAAGAATGAGGGAAATATAAAGTGGAGAAATAAAAGCACTAAATAGTGTTGAACCTTGGGTTGTGATGAGACTGCAGTTGGCCCCCCATCAAATATTGAAGAACAAGCAATGTTTCAGTGCCAGGCCTGCTTCTCCTTGTTCCTGTCCTGTAGGTGGCTAGATTGAAAAGCCCGAGACCCTCCTGCTGTGCAGGCAAGGGTTTCCTTCATCTTTTGAAAAGCCCGAGACCCTCCTGCTGTGCGGGCAAGGGTTTCCTTCATCTTTTACAAAACCTGGGACTCCCAGAAAACACTGTCCCCCAGTTCTCCTTCCAGTTTGCAGTGTGCATATTGATACTTTAGAGCCTTTGTAAACTTTTATCTAATCCTGCTGCTTTTTGTGTCTTCCAACAGGTTCCCCAACACAACTCATGAGAGTTTCAATGTCACCCTCCACACCACCCTGGGCATCACCACAAAACTGGTGCTCCCAACCCCTGCCAAGCCCATCCTCCCGGTGCAGACAGGGGAGCAGGCTCAGCAGGAGGAGCAGTCCAGTGGCATGACCATTTTCTTCACCCTGCTTGTCCTAGGTGAATATGTCCCGTCAGGAGTGTCTGTGTGTTAACCCTGTCTCTGTTGTGTACTTTGTCAAGTCTTCCACCTGACTTTTGCTTCTAACACTGAGGACAAACCACCAGTTTATAATTTCATACCAGGACGCTCCCTTGGCCTTAGGAAATCATAGAAGAACCCTTGGTGCATTATCTTAGGTGGCCTCTGGAAGAAAAAAACTAAAGAAGTTTTGATTGAGACTCTCTTGAACATTTAAATTAGATGTGATTTTTGCTCTTTGGAGTCAGTGTGTATTACACTTGTGTATGTGTGTGTAGCTGGTGGTGGCAAAAGATAGGCGAGTCAAATGTGAAGGAATCAGTGGGAACAGCATTTTGACCCTTAGATTTATTAGGCATTGATGTAAATTTTGTTTTTTGATACGGTCTCACTTTTTTTTATTCGATTTTGTTATTTTTTTCAGACAGGATCTTACTATGTGTGCAGGCTGTCCTTATACTCACTATGTAGCCTAGGCTGGCCTCGGATTCACAGGGATCCTCTTGCCTCAGCCACGACCATGTGCTGCAATTACAGGCATGTGCCACCATGTCTGGCTTTTCTTTTTCTTTCTTTCTTTCCTTTTTTTGGCTTTTTTGAAACCAGGTCGTGCTCTGTAATACAGGCTGGCCTGAAGTTCATTTTGTAGCCCAGGCTGGTCTCAAACTCAAAGGGATTCTCCTGCCTCAGCTTCTTGAGTGCTGGGATTATAGGCATGTATCACCAAGCCTAGCTTTTCCCTTTTTAAAAATATACTGTTTCTAGGCCGGGGATTTAGCTCAGTGGCTTAAGCGCCTGCCTAGCAAGTGTGAGGTTGTGAGTTTGATCCCTGGTACCAAAAAACAAAAACAAAAAAAAAAAACTGTTTCTTACGTAATAATGTAATTTAATTGGATTCATTTAAATTTAAAACATTAGCTCCCCTTCCTCCTCTAGTGAGTGAGCAAATTTAAACTCAGAGATGTCAAATAATTGGCACATCTGGTTGGGGCAAGACCAGAGGCTGGTATCTAGGTTGCCAGACCTCAGAGAAAAGGTTTAAATAAGAGGCAGAAACTGTCAAGGTTGAGGCCGGGGACGACAAGCCTGGGCCTGGCTTGGGCCATGTGGGCACTTAGCGAGACTTTACCTCAGAATTTAAAGTGAGGTGGAAATCAGGGATGTGGTTCAGTGCTAAGACCCTAGCTAGGTTCAGTCTCTAGTACCACACAATCATACACACACCCACAGGCAAAAACTCCTGTAAACAGTAGATAATTGTTTTGGACAGAAGAACTCAGATTGAAACTATACAACCACTTTGGATTAGCTGGCTAAGGAAGAAAGAATTTAAAAGTGAGCCAAGTCCAAACACTTGTTTGAAAGTGAAATTTACATTTGCTGCTTTTTTGAAAAAATATTATCAAAGTCATCTTTCAAATTAAATTAGATCTTTTCAAAAGACTCAAAGGTGGAACTGGGTTTTTATTGTGGATTTCTCTGCTGTGTTTTAGGATTGGTTTTTGAGCAAAAGTATAACTTCTTTCACATTTGTATCCAGCCTGATAAATGATCAAATAAATTACAACAGTATAATAATTTTATTTGAAATGGAGGATTCATCCTTATGTGTCGTAGGGTTTAAACAATTTTTAAAGCAAATACCAGGAAAGTACACAAACCAGAAGTATACGGTATCCCAGTATAGATATCCCAGGTAGACTTAATACACCCTGGACATTTTTTTTTACCCTGTGAACCAAGGACTCCTTTTTGTTTTGTTTCGTTTTCTTTTCATTTTGCTTTTTTGTTCAGTAGTTGAATACAAAAAAGGAGAGCATTTCTTTCCTCAAGAAATCAGAAGTCTCCTTTTAGGGCTGTGTATTGTTACTCTGTTTACAGTTCTGTCAGCTTGCTACGCTAAAACCTGTAAAAGGCAAGCCTGGAAAAAACTTTTGTAATCTTTTTCAAGGGAGAGTGAAAAACATCACTAAGATTTCCAAAGAAGCTTTCAGGGTGCGGCGCATTTAAGGTCAGCCTGTGCTAATCCAGTGCTCTGTCCAGTTCCAAATAACAAAGGCGCTTTTGGTGACATGCGTCCCAGGGGAGGCCAAGTCCTGCCCGGTGTCAGTGTACTTCGGGGGTCAGAAAGTGCTCAGCTGTGCTCTCCTTGTCTTCTCTTTGAACTGATCGTAAACGCAGGCTCGAGGGTCACGAGGCTGTCTCGGTTCCGCCTACTTGGATTCTAGGCCGTTGAGGGTCAGCATCTTTACTTAGCTTGACGTGGTTGCCTTACAGGATGAGATGATATGTTCTTTTTACATAAAATTGAAGGCATTTTTTCTCTTTGATCTCACATATCATTGTCATTTGGTCCTGATTAGATGTCCAAACATCTGATAGAGTTAAAAAAAAAAAAAAAGTTACTAGCTGGATGCGATGGCCTACAATTCCTGCACTCAGGAAGCTGAGGCGGGAGGACAAGCCTGGGCCACATTGTGAGTTCAAAACCAGCCTGAACTACATAGGGAGCCCTTGACTCAAAAAATTATACACACAGAGTAAAATAAGTTTAAAAATGTCTGCAAATAAGTAACTTGCTGACTACTGATTGCGTATATGAGCTGTAGTGAATTGAGAGAAATTGGTCCATAATTTATTCTAGATTGCAGCCCTCCAAACCTGGATTACATTTGTTTATTATTATAGATAAACCAAGTGAAAATGTAGATTTGTGTTACAGGCATGTTACAGGATTTTTTTTCTCTTTTTTTGTGACGGTCTCATGTGCAGTTCAGTCTGACCTTGAGCTTGTTTTGTAGCCCCGGCTGGTCTGGAACTCACAACAATCTTCATGCCTCAGCCTCCTGATGCTGGGATTACAGGCATGAGCCGCTATGCTGGTTTATATTACAGGTGTCCCTATGTTGGATTTGAATTTAGAATTCTCCTCTCTCAGCTTCCCCAAGTACTGGAAATGGGGGCATGAGCCACTGCACCCAGTGAGAGTAAGCTTGACTGAATGGTTTATTGGGGCATAGGGGGTTGAACTGAGGGGTCTCAAACACCCCAGGCAAGTGCTCTACCACTGAGCTATATCCAGTGCTAAATGAGTTTTTAAAAGTCCAGCTTGGTGCAGAGCAAGAACAAAATCTGAATTTCCTCAATCTGTTTTCTGTCCACTTCCTGCTCACACCCAGGCCTGCTCAGGAGTCACGTGCTGAGCTTATGCACTGCGGCTTTTTTCATGCTTTCAGTGTTTAAAGTGGGATTTTTTAACTAGGTTATTTTTTTTTTTTTTTTTTTTTTTTTGCCTTTTTCCTTTTCATTGGTACCAGGGATCGAACTCGCCTGCTTACAAGGCAGGCGCTTATGCCGCTGAGCTAAATCCCCAGCCCCCCAGGTTAAATTTTTTAAGGTTACATATTTACATTAAAACAACCTCACAGATTGATAGTTTAAAGCCCAAAATGAAAACAGAACAGATACTCTTTTCTGTGGCCTCCTGGTACTTTTTGTTGGGATTGAAGAAATCTGATTTGTCAGAATGGGCTCTGAGGGTAGCCAGTTAACAGCCATACAGATTGTTTAAACATTTCCTTTTTAAAAAAGAAAAGCAGAGTTATGTTTAGTACTGTTAATACTGTGATTAATGAGGCAGTGTAGCCTGCTAACATTTGAGGCATGAAATCACATTGGGAATTGTTCATGTGAAAGGGCAGTATTTTTCTTATTTTTTATTTTTGGTTGAGAAATACTTTTTTTGAATAGATTGATATCTTTTTTCTTCCTTCCTTCCTTCCTTCCATTTTTTTCCTCCCTTTTTGCCATCTTGAGCACTGTGCCACTAAGCTCCACTCCCAGGCCTTACTTACTTATTTATGTATTTTTATGGTACTGGGAATTGAACCAGGGACCTTGTGCTTGTCCGGCAGGTGCTGGCCACTGAGCTGTATCCCCAGCCCATCCTTTTTATGTTTTGAGACAGAGTCTTATTAAGTCAGTGAGTTGCCAGAACTTGAACTTGGGATCCTCCTGCCTCAGCCTGGTGCTGGGATTACAGGCATGTGCCAGAGTGCCAACCTTTCTTAGTCTGATAGCACCCAGTGAAAGAAGTCAGGCATTATCGAGAAGTTAAGGAACGAAGGCCACCAGCAAGGTGTGTGGGGGGTACACCGTAGTTAAGTCCACCTAGTCTGAATCAGACTCTGTGCTGCAGTGACATCCTGAAGCTGCTTTTGTCATGTACAGTCGATGGACATCATGGCAATGACAGCTACAGGACGTTTGGGGGACTAAAATAGGGAGCATTGGAAAGTGCCGTCCGTCCCCAGCTGCTGGGGCCAGCTGGGGGGCAGGACTGACTCACCTTTAAATTTCTTTAATGTTCTTGTCATCAGAGTTTTTACTTTTTCCTGGTTGTAAAATACCCTCACTTACTTCTGTGGTAAAAGAGAACCGGTCACATGGTGCAAAATATTTCATGTCCACATGATCTGTTGCAGTTGCATTTATGTGTAAGTAATTTCACTCACTTCCTCTTTCAAAACAGCAGGACCCTGCCTTATAGTCAGGAAAATTTGCATAATTATAAATGGTTGTATTGGGTTTTAAAGTTCCTTAAAAAGCTAACCACCAGAGAACAGTAGTTCAGGCATACAAAGAAGTAAAAGGAACATAATAAGCACTATCAGTCCACCTCTGGGTTAAGAAACGACAATAAGAGACGATTACTCTGTCTCATTGCTGGTTGTCTGTTATCTTGACGGCCCCACAGACAGGCTAATGACTGCCTTGAACCTGGTGTTTTCTAGTCAAAACTGGGCTTTTAAAACAATGTCTTATTTTCCTCCACAGCTATCTGCATCATATTGGTGCATTTACTCATCCGATACAGACTGCATTTCTTGCCAGAGAGTGTTGCTGTTGTTTCTCTTGGTAAGTGCTTATCTGGAACCCCACAATAAAAGTGAAGACAATAAGCACCACCTGCCCCCCAAACCCAAGTCCCTTTCTCTTTGTTTTTGTTTTGAGACAAGGTCTCACTGTGTATTCCAGGCTGGCCTTGAACTCACTGCAGTCCTCCCGCCTCAGCCTCCTGAGTGCTACCCTAGCAACAGGCACCTTCTGTGAGCTGCTGCTGCTTTTCCCTTGAGCACACTGACCTTGCAGTTCAGGGAGGAGAAACGGCTCCCTAATGTTAGAGGTAGCCACTTACTATCTCTTGTTTCCTGTGGCAGTTAAGATAATTGGCTGGTGGAGTGGAGGGAAGTGTGTAATAACAGCTGTGAACACAGGCTCCTTCATGGAATGGTTAATTCACTGAAGGAAGAAGCGGGGACATTCATTAGTGTCAACAAATTCAGGGCTGAAATGGGAGAAAGGTTGCTCGAGGCACAGGTGGTTTCACTGAGGTTGCCTGAGGGTTAGTAGTTGACTGTGTTGCCATTACTTTGCTAGTTTGCACTTGCCTGCTGATAAACACTGTTTCCTTATCCCACTGACACATCTAGGGTGTCTTTGCCTCGCAGGTCTTGTTTAATGGGGTGCTGAGGCTTTAATGCAATATGCCTGTGGTGGAAGCGGCTTTGGTATAAATGCTGCCCACACGAGCCCTGTAGCTTTGGACGTGGACGTTCAGGCTGTGTTCGCCAGCCGTGTCCTTCTCCTTCGTGGCTTGCCCTCCTGCCGCCTGGAGCAGACCCTCCTCTGTGTGCCTTGGACACACTGCGCACTTGCGCTCGGGGCTGTGAGGCTGCAGGTGCAGTCTCAGTTTTAGGTTTGGAACCTGCAGGTTGTTTTACAGTCCCCACCTGGTGGTACTGCCCTTCAGTCCAGAGAAAGAAACCGGTTCTATCCAGAGCTCCTATTCCTTGTTCAGCAGGTTCCAACAACCTAACAGATGGTGCTATAGCTCTGCGATGGGAAGATTTCTCATTCCTTTCCTGCTATGAGAGGCTTTGAAAGTAACCTACATAGCTAATACTCATACTCGGGGGCATTTGGTAAAGGCTTAAAAAATACTTCAGAGGAATTTACAGTTTTGTGGTCAGTTTCATAGTTTCTTTGATTTTTTTGAGACAGAGTTTCACTTTGTAGTTCAGGCTGACCTTGAAATCACTGTGTAGCCCATGCCGACCTCTAATTCCTATGATCCTCCTGCCTCAGCCTCCCAAGTGCTGGCATTACAGGTGTGTACCACCAAACCTGGCTGTTGTCTCTTGAATGTGTGGATGAACCATGGCTTGTTAAACACCAGTGCTTGTATTGGGGCCTACAGCATTCTCACTTGCCTACCCAAGAGCCATTTTCCTCTTTCTTAATAAAAGAATTAGGGATCTGTTTTCAGGGAGAAAAGGACATGGCTTGTGGGTAGCAGCCAGCAGCATCAGGTTTGGTTTTTACAAGTGTACATGGTGGGGCTCAGCTGTAACCCTAGAACTCTGGGAGGCTGAGGCAGGTGGATTATGGGCAATTTAATGATTTAGTGAGATCCTGTCTCAAAATAAAACACAGGCTGGGTGTGTACTTATATGAGAATGCCCTGGGTTCAACCTGAAGCAAAAAAAAAAAATTGTTTTTACACAAAGCTTGGTCTCTGTCCTCTTGGTAATTACACAGGCGTTTTCCCCTGGCTGGGGGCGTGGCGGTGATGAGGGTGTGAAGCCTGTTCTGGCTGGAGACCGTAGAGGGAAGTGTGCTGGGGATGGCCCCTGGGAAATGTTTCCTTCCTCACAGAAATGAGAACATGACCCCTTCCTTCCTTTAATTCTGCTCATTGAGGAAGTGGTGTCTGGGGCACCCATTGCTGTGTTGAAACCACTGTGGCTCAAAGGCAAAAGCCAGAGCTGGGTGTGGGGGCTCATACCCTATGAAGCTGAAGCAGGAAAATCACAAGTTCAAACCCAGCCTGAGCAGTTTAGAGACTTAGCAAGATGCTGTCTCAAAATTAAAAAAATTTAAAAGACTTAAGATGAACTCAGTGTGAAGGCTCTGAGTTCCATTTCCAGTCCTAGCAAAGGGAATAAGACAGAAGCTGGAATGGTGAGCATTGCCAGGGCAGGGAGGAGCAGCCCAGATGCCGCACCGCGCTGCTGCTGGGGATGGGGCACCACCGGAGCTGCCTCGCTCGGTGCTGCCTGTCCCGCCTGACAGCATGCATCTATCGTTGAAGCCATTTTTAGTCAAGCGACCTTTGACCTGCAGCTCAGAGTGCTGCTGTCACCGAACTTTTTCCACTTCGAGAGGCCAGACCCAATTTAAATGGATTTAAAGAATAGTTTGGTGGACAAGGGGTCACACGGTTCGTGGCTTTTGAAGAAAAACTGTGAGTAGCTCGAGCTTCAGACAGCTGCTTCGACAGCTGGGTCGGGCCTTCCAGCTCGGTTCTCCACTTGCCCGCAGCCCACCGCCCGCTCTGTGGCCCTGCTTCGGACTTCTGACACAGGCAGGCTGGCAGCAGTCGCTGCAGGAAAGCTGGCTGTCCTTGTCTCGGGCGCCCAGGTTGTACAAACTGCGGCCAGCTCTGAACCTGCAAGGGGGTGGAGTGGTGCTGGGGTGGCTGACGTGTCTCCCTGGACCCTACTGGATCTGCAGTCGATTGAGCCAGCCCTTGGGGTCGGCTGTGGGCAGCAAGGCCTACTTTTTTTTTGTCTCTTTGAGACGGTCTTGCTATGCAGTTCAGGCTGGCCTTCAACTCACTTTGTAGCGCAGGCTGGTCTTAAACTTGGAATGATCCTTCTGCCTGAGCCTCCCGAGTGCTGGGATTAGGCCTGTCTTCAACGCTGCTCTGCCCACTTGGGTGACTGGAGAGCATCGAGCACATTGGAAAGAGCACAGGGGTCCGGGAAGCACTTGTACTATGTTAGAAGACTTTCTGTTCAATCTAAAAATGCTGGCAAAGCAGGGAAAATCTTCGGTCTTTCCCATCGCTGTAGAAGCTAAGGCGGAACTTTTCCCCAGCTAGAGCACCGTGTAACCAAATTCTGAGATAACTACCAAAATGGCCAACTTTAAGAAAAGCCAACTTTTGTGAAAGAAGGAATCTACATGAAGCACCCAGAGAAAGCGAGGTTTGTCCTTTCAGGGGTAAACACCTCCAGCCAGAGGTTACAGAGCGCCGCCCTGACTGGCCTTCCGTGTTACCATCCCACATTCCCTGTTCCCACATAACGCTCTGGTAGAAAAGAACATGCGCCTCGTTGCACCTAAAAGCACTCCCCCCCCCACTTTATTGTATTTTCAAATGAGGGTCCTGTCATTTTTTCCTTCTTTATAGAAAAGAGCATCAGTGTGAAGTTTGCTTTTTGCAGTGTTGGCTATCGCACCCAGGCCTTGTATGTGCTAGCCAAACACTGCTGCTGAGCTACACCCCCAGCTCTTTTTATTTTGAGCTTTCCAAGTAGCTAAGTCAGCATGAAAATCTGAAAAGATTTCCATGGCCTTTGTTCAAAGCTTTCAGAGCCAGCTCATGCCTGTAATCCCAGCACTTGGGAGGCTGAGGCAGGAGGATGGTTGCAAGTTTGAGACCAGCCTGTCTACAAAGTGTGCTCAAGGTCTGCCTGAACTGCATAGGGAAACTGTCTCAAAAAGATGAACCAACCTGCCGGGGGATTAGCTCAGTGGCATAAGTGCCTGCTTGGCAAACGTGAGGTCTTGAGTTCGAACCCTGGCACCAACAAAACAAAACAAACAAAATGGCCAGGCATAGTGGCTCACGCCTGTAATCCCAGCACTCAGGAGGCTAAGATAGGAGGATAGTTGTGAGTTCGAGACCAGTCTGGGCTACAAAATGAACTCAACACCAACTTGAACTGCATAGAGAGACCCTGTCTCAAAAAAGACACACACACATACACAAAATAAGACAAAACCACCACCACCACCCCTACAAAAAAAAAAAAAAAAAAAAAAAAAAAAAAAAAAAAACTTTCAGGATACTTCCTGTATTTTATAGAATTGTGTAGTTTTGGCTTTAAAAAAAATTCCCCCATCAAACTACTGTATGGGAAAAACAGTCCTGTTTTTAGATGTTTTCAGCTATTTTTATTATGCTTTATTCTCTTCCAGGCCTAGTATAGACATATTTTGTGTGTATGTGTTCTTTCCTTTTTTGTTCTTTCCATAACTTTCTTATTCAAGTTCACATACTTCTTTTTATTGACCTTGTAGTATTGACTCACTTAATGTATTTGGGGTGAAAATCTGCAAGGAATGAAAGTAAATTACTTGTATTGCCCCATATTCTCGGTTGTAAATAGCAAAGAGCCTTTCTCCCATCATGCTTTATTCTAGATTGAGAAAAGGTTAGGGTAGGGTTAAAGGTTTTTTCTGAACTTGAGTAAATAGACTACCCAATAGCACCCCCCCATCTTAACCATGCTTGTGCTTTTAATTATGTTAATTCCTCCTTATGTTTTTAATTTTAAGAATAGGACTTTTCTTTTGGTACTGAGGATCAAACTCACAATCTTGTACTTTACCAGGCAACCACTTGAGCCACTGAGCTAAATCCCAGCCCTCTTTGTCTTTTTGAGACAGGGTCTTGCTAGGCAGTTCACGCTGGCCTTGGGCTCACTTTGTAGTCCAGGTTGGTCTTGGATTCACAGTGATCCTCTTGCCTCAGCCTCCTGAGTGTTGGGATTACAGGAGTGTGCAACGATGCCTGGCTTCAACAATAGGGCTCTTCTGTCAACGATGATTTTAAGTGGAAGATGATGAAAAACAACAGTTCCTGAATTACTGACTAAAGACAGTTCTGGAAAAGGTGATCTAATAATTACATTTCAGTGCATTTAAGTTCTAAAGTTTTTTTTTTAAACATCAAAAGAACTCTAAATGTAACTATAACTACTTTAAGTACTAAGGTTGATGTGGTGTACAGTAACCCATGGTGCCTGCCGGCTTTGATTTTTTTGTTTGTTTGCTTCTGTTTGCCA